TCACACGGTATGCACAGGGCCAAAGCCTACTACTCAAAGTCAATGATACCTAAGGGAAACTACAGTATAAAGTCCATTTGGCATTAATCTCAACACTACACAACAAACAAATACCCTAGGGCATCTAGAGAAGGCTGCTCACTAAGAAGACCTTGACGTCAATGTGGAAGAGATTTCCATCCCAATAGACACACAAATCTCAACACAGAAACACAAGAGGTATGAAAAAACAAGACAACGGGACTCCTCCAAAGGTTTGTAACTCCATAGTTACTGAATCCAAAGACATCAAAGTGGATGAGATGTCAAAGAATCCAAAAGATTGATTTTTAAAGTGACCAATGAATTAAAAGGAGCTGCAAATAGACAGGTGAATAAATTAAAAGAAATAATGCAGAGTACATAGCAATTAAGTAAAAACTTAGAGATTGTGCAAGAAAATCAAACAAAAATCTTGGAAATGAAAAACTCAGTAAATCAAATAAAAACCTCAGTTGAAAGTTTCACCAATAGACTAGAGCAAGTAAGTAATATCCTTGCTTAAAGAGAAGGTAGATTACTACCATATTGAGGCAGTAGTAAAGAGGGATAAAAACCAAAACTATGAACAGTATACTTAAGATCTTTGGCACCATCTGAATCATAGGTTTAGATGAAAGGATCAAGCTGCAGGCCAATGACATATTCAGTGAAATGACTTCAATGACTTATTCAGTGAAATAATAGCAGAAAATTTCCAAAATCTTGGGAATGATATAGCCATCAAGTTTTTTGAGGCATTCTGAATCTCAAGTGGACGTGACCTGATAAAGAACCTCTTCTCTGCCTATTGTTAAACTGCCAATATAAAAGAACAAAGAAAAAAATATTAACAGTTGTAACAGAGAAGCATCAAGTCCATTTTGAAGGTAAACCCATCAGGATACCAGCAGATTCTCAGCAGAAACTTTAGAGGATGGGAGGAGATGCGATTATGTATTTCAAGCCCTGAAAGAAAATAACTGCCAATGTAGATTAGCCTGTCTCATACAGTTATCTGTTGGGATCAAGGGAGGAATAAGACTTTCTAGGATAAGTATAAAGGAGAAGAATGGATGGCCACTAAGCCAGCATTGCAGAAAAAACTCAAAGCATTCCTGTGCCTACATGAGCAAGCAAGGTGCACGCAACCATAAGAGATGGGAAAGACTGAATCTTACCAGAACTGTTAAACAAATGAGAAATAGGAAAGGGAACAGAACCAATGTAGTGGAAAAAGACAAGGTAGTAGCGAGGTTGGATATGATGAAAACACATTTATCCATACATGGAAAAGTCACAAGGAAACCTTTTTGTGTATATAGTAAATATGCACTAATAGTTATCATAATAAAAAGCCTTTGTGAATAAAATTAGTGACCTTATTAAAGAGGTACAAGTGTGTTATGGTTTAGTTCTAATTGTTCCCCAAAAGATTCATATGTTTGAAAGGTAATTGGATCATGGGGTGCTCCTGAAATATTGTTTCTTCACTTTTTCTTCCTCCTCACATGTTACGAGTTAGTACATAGATAAGACCTATTCTCTGTGGATGAAATCTCCTTCATTCTATTCTGAATATTCTACTTTAAAAACATCTCTCTGTAGAAGGTAGATATTTTCTACTGCCCTATATCCAGTCTGAGAGTCCTTCCTATATGTCCCATCTGCTCTTAAAACAACTAATGAATTCTTAGTTTTAGTAATTGAATTTTTCAACTCCAGAATTTTCAGTCAGTACTTTTTACAGATGGCAATTTTCTTGTGAAATTCTCCTTCTTCTCTTCTCATTTTGAACATGTGCATCAAGTGTATTTAAGTAAATTAATGTATTCATTCTGGAGACAGGTTCTTACTTCCTTGCTCCGACTGGCCTTGAACTCCTGGGCTCCAGAGACACCCTGCCTTAGCCTCCCCAGTGTCTGGGACTGCAGGCATGCACTGCTATGTTCAGCAAGGTTATTTCAAATTGCACAACTGATAGTTCTAATAGATGTGTTACCTCATGGGTTTATTCAATGCCCTCATTTTCTCTGCTCTTTCTTTGTCTTATTTCCTTTTTTAAAAAATTGAATTATGGATGCTGTGTTGATGAGAAAAAATATAGAAGTTCTGGCTGCTTTTCCTCACAGGGTGAATTTCCTTTTGCTTTTTTCTGATAACCTTCAGAGGCCTCAGCTGAGGAGATGATATCTGTGGGCCCCATCTTCCCAGCTTTGAAAGATTCTGAAAGCTCTTTGTGGCTTCTGCCCAGCTCCTTACTGTTCACTCTCTAGTTCATGTCTCATAAAAATCATGCAGCTTTTAAGTGGGTAGAAGTCCTGAAGGGGAAACGTAGGGCTGAACAAATCCTTTCTCCTTTTTTCAGATACTTTGCTAACCCCCAATTCCACTGTTTGGTCTCCCTAGCTATTTGAAAATGCTAAGAACTTGACCCACCGTTTCTTCTCTTTATCCATCAGAGTTTGCTTTGCTTGTTAGCTTCCCTCTCCCTGCCAGTTACTAATCCACAAATGCCTGGAGGGAAAAGAAAGCGCAAGATTTTGGGTTCCTGCATTGTGTTACTTTGCTTCCTGGGACCTTGGCCTCTCTGGCCCCAAACATCCTGACATAATTCTGCTCCACTACACAGCTTTTAAAAAAAAACAAAATCAGCCAGCTTTTTTTCCAGTGCCTTTGGTAGGAGAACTGGTCAGATGCAAACTCATAGCCATAAGCAGAAGTCCTTGAATATTTTTATTTCGCATGTTGCTTGATAAGTGTTCTTTGTACATCCACCAAATCCATTCTTTATCTGAAGTGTGTGCTTTCCCCTCCTATTTTATTAAAACTCCTTTTTGATTTATAGAAGTGGTTCATCGATTTGTTGTCAAATCTATTAGTCTTTTAAAAAATAACTTCAATTAAAAATAGTCCCCCTTTATCCTGTTGTATTTTTTTCTCTTTGGTTTATTTCATTTAAATTTAATTTTAAAATTTATCAAAATTGAATTTGGGGGGCATGGAATGTTATGAAACTCTTGTTTGTTCCCCAATTATTTAACAACCAGGCGTTGAGTAAAATTTCTTCCCTACTTACTGCTTTGGAATTCTCCTTTTTCCAAACAGCACATACAGTATTTTAAATAGTCTGATTCCTTTCTGGGCTCTCATTAATCTGCTACTACATCTATAATCTGCTCTTTTCATGATTGAGCTCTGATACTTCATTTTGCCCCTTGCCAGGTGAGTACCTTTTCAAGAAGTACCCTTGAGTACCCTTCCTTGTCAATTGTGGTTGTTCCCCTCGTGAGGTCTTTGCCTGCAGTCTCAGAAGCGGTTATGATCTGTATTAAGGATACTCAGGACAAAAGTGTTGAGTTCTATTATCCATGGGGCTTAAAGCATTCAGAGGCTGGAGAAAACTTGGTGTCTCACATGACTCTAAGCCTTCTGGCCTGAGAACTGAGAGAATGGAAGTGTCATTAACTAGTTGGACATGCAAAGAAGACAGGTTATAGCAGATTTTAACAGTGTGGGAGAATCGCCTTGAAAAGAACACAAGGATAGGTAATTGTAACAGATTGGCGATAGTACAAAATCTTAGTACCTTTGGCTGGTAGGATAGAAAGTTGACATGACTCAGCTTGGATGAGATATCAAATAAGATTCACTGTGGCACTAGTTCCAATGCATGGATGGTTTTAAGGAGCAGTCCACAGCGGCCCTTTCCATAATTCCACCATGGGAAATGGGCCGTCAGGCAGCCAACTGTGTTTGCAGTTGACTTGACTGAGGAGCCTAGGATTAGGGAGAAAAGTGGCGAAGTCTGACTGATCAAGTTTGGGAGATTTGGGAAAAAGCGTTTCAAGTGACTCAGTAGAAGCGCCTGATGAAAAGCTTGTTAACATAACCCACCATAAATTCTGGTTTTTAAAGAAAGAAAGGCAGATTATTCCAAGAATTGAATATTATTATGAAGAGCAGGAAGAGGCTGGTGAGCTCTGTATCAAAGTCAGACAGTATTTTCTTCCTGTGTCATCTCCATGAAGAACATGCCAAGAGCTCAGACGAACCTCACCCTCTGTAGTCATGAACCCTGCAGTCTGAGGTCAAAACAGCCCCAGGCCTAGAGCCTGGGCGCACTTTAACTCAGTGAACGTGAGCTCCTGGCGTCTTTCAGTGTATTTATCCAAACCTGTTCTCCTTTATTTACCCCGATAAAGCTTACAAAATATCACTTTGAACTGTGTACCCTAGTTCTAAAATACGACTAGAACGAAATACAAAGAGTAGAGAGAAGGACGATTTTAAGGAACTGGTTTTCATAAGGCTCCCTCATTTGTTTTGACTGCAGGCATTTTAACCCCTTAATTTAGGCTACACCATCAGAATTGTAGAATTTGGGTCTTGGAAGAAATGTACTATTTACTCCTACTTTTTCATCATTTAATGAATGAGACAAATGAGGATGGGCGAATACAGGGCTGAAGCCAGCCTGTAAATCGAAAGCAGAGCTGGGCCCAGGAATCCCTGGTTTCCTAAAAACTGATCTAAATACTTTCCATTACAGTGTGGCGCTTAGAAAAGGCATAAGCCTTACTCTATTAATTACCATATCACTTGGCATTTTGTATCCCTCCCCACCCGTTTTTAAGGTTCAGCAAAATTTTCTCTGTGTAAGAGTAAAAAGCGGTTTAGCTATTCTCTCCAGAGCATCAGATTTCTAAAATGAGCTGACACAGAGCACTTTTGGAAACAAATTTAGTATAAAAGCACAAAGTATGCAAATGAGGTATGAAGCCAAACTTTAGAAAGGAGCTGGAGAGGTCATGAACTACCGCAGTGCCATTGCTAAGGTCAGACTTCAGTCCTCCATTGCTGTCCTTCTCCAAAGAACAAGCCGCGTGCATTTCGGACCCTCAGTCCTGCCCCTGCTGTGGGTGCCCACCTGGCCCAGCGGCACCCACAGTGAGCTGCTTACCTGTTCTCAGGTTTTTGGCAGTGTCTGCTCAGGCATGCTCGCCCCACCCCCATCCTGTTCTACTTCAGTGTCAGAAGGAAACGAAGCCGCAAGGAGAACAAAGCCTGGTAACACCTTGTGCCTCTTGCCTCCTTCTCACGCCCTCTGCACTGTTCTCTGCACATGCAGCTGCTCCAGCTGGTTTGGCTCCAGCTGGTTTGGCTCCAGCAGAACATCCTGCCTGCCAGAGCCGGGAAGAACTATGAGCAAGGAGGTCCACTGCAGAGAAGGACCTGCCCACAGACTGTTGCTCCACCCTGGTTTGGCTCCTGTGTGACACCTGCCTGCCTGCCCAAGGGAGGAATTATGAGCAAGGACCACAACTGCAGACAGATAGTCATATCCAGAAGCCACGAGTTGTCCTAAGAACCAGGTCTCTACACCACCTAAACCGGAGAGATGGCGTTGTCGCTGGAAGAATTTGTGCAGTCCCTTGATGTCAGGACCCTGCCCAGGGTCCTAGAAATCCAGTCAGGCATCTATTTTGAAGGTAAGCTTTCTCCAAGTCCTTCGCTGGCTAGAAAATGCAGTACTTAGGAAGTCTACACACCTGGGAATTCGCGGGAGAATTTTAAGGAAGAGTATGAGTTCTGAAAAGGAAAGGTGATCACAAAAAAGAGAAAGCAATGAACTGATGAATGATCAAGACCCAAGATTGTTGAAGAAGGGAGAAACTAGATAAGCTCTCTGGGGTGGATGGGGCAGGGGATGAGGATTATGTGAAAATTCTTGAGATTTTCCTGAGTATTCAATAGTTTGTGTGAACGGTCAATTTCTTCTGCATATTCTTTGGAACTGGTTGTCATCGTGGGTGAAAAGTTATTGATATTTGTTTCTAGAATCCTAAAAAGTCTTTTTTCTTAAATAAAAGCAACCCTCAAGTGCATCCGATGTAGAAAGTAGTGCTTCCCAAGCTTTTAACTACTAAATGTCACTGAAACTAATGCTTCTCTTAGTCTTTCTGCAGTCATCTAACTCTTCATTCTTTAAATAATAGCATTTTTAATGTGAAGATATAGAAATTTGTGTCTGTTGCTAGGCAGCTGCCATGTGACTATAATCCCAGGTCCCTTGGAGGCTGAGGCACAAGGATTGCAGTATTGGAACCAATAAAAATTAGAAAAAAGGAGAAATTAATGCCTATTCATCACAAGAGAATTTTAAAAATCTATGCTGAAAAGTGATAGTTCAATTCAAATTATTGAATAAGTTGGTGAATTTTGGTGTAATTCAAGTAACAGAGCTATCAAAACTCCAGTATACACCGTAGAATCTTTAAGTGCATGTTTGAATATGTGCAAGAAACAAAGATCATTTTCTAAATAATTGCATAATTTTACTGAGAAGAAACATACAATTGAAGCAATAGTAGAATGAGATCCAGTCAAGCTGCTGGGAAAATAACCTAGGGAGTTTTAGTGGGCAAATCTTTCCTGTTTATTGACAGTCTCTGATGTGCACTTGTGTGAAAGTGGACTTCACAACCATCATGCTTTGCACTTTCAGTGCTGTATCCAATGAATTGTATACTAAACACTTCATTATAAAATGAACTTTTTGTTAGATGCTTTTGCCCAACTATGCAAAACCTAAGTGTTTTGAGTATGCTTAAGGCAGGCTAGGCTAAGCCACGATGTGTGGTAGGTCAGGTGTATTAAGCATATATTAAACTTACAGTATTTTCAAATTACAATAAGTTTATCTGGATATAACCCTACCATAAGTCAAGAAGTATTTATTAGGTGTTATGAAATAAGAGAAAGACTGACAAATGTCAGCTCCAGGTTTTATGGGCGTATGTACACACACACACACACACACACACACACACACACACACCCTCCTCACAAAAAGTAAAGAACTGGTACAGACTGTAATCAGTTTGCTATAGGGTTTTGTTTAATTCATTTGTAAATCGATTATTTGGAGCCAGATCATCTTTTGTCATATACACTCTTTTGTTTTGTTTCTAAGCTAGCCCCAAATCACTACTTGTCTCATGATTTATGATTTAAGGCTTTGTATGAAAAGTCTTTCTTTACGTCTAGAAAAATAGTTTTATATTACTTTTTATCAACTTTACAACTTTATGTTTCACATTTGGCTTATAGTCTACTTGGAGGACATTCTCCTACGGAGAGTTCAGAGGTCTAGTGTAACTTTGCTCCGTATGATGAAACTGACTTCCAGGTACCATTTCCTAAGTGGGACCATCCATTCCCGATTGATGTGGGTGGTCACCATTAGATCACATGGCATATTCACATGCTGATCAATGTCTCTGAAATAGCTCTTCTTTCCCACCAGTGCTGTTTTTCTGCTTTTCTCATATTAATTCCATTCCCTTCTTTCCTTTCCCCTTCCTCTCCCCCTTCCCCTTTGCCCCTTTTCTTCCTATTTCACATTATCTATTTGTTTTTCTTAATTGTGTCAAACTCACACTACTTTTGTAATAATGACTCAAGTCAGTATACAGACCGACCTAGCTATCCATAAACATTTATAATATATTTTTTTAAAAAATCAATTTCATAAGAAATTCAATGGAAATTTTTATTGGATTGAATGACTACATATTAACTTGGGAAGAAATGACATTTTATATTGTTATTTGAATGACACATGCATTCAGACCATCTTCTTCATACTTTAGTAGTGTGCTACCATGTCATAACTGAAACAAGTTGTCCCAATTTGAGCACATTCTCAGAAAACCATGAATGCTCTAGTAGCCCCATCTTGTTCTCTTGTCCAGTTGTTATCCACCACATACCCAGATTAACCACTATTATGACTTTGTCTATTGATGAACTTTATATAAATGGAAAGTTACTTAATGTATTCTTTCATAGCTGGCATACATGTTTAACATATTTGTGAAACGAATCATTATCTCACATAGTTTATTCATTTTTGGTGTATATCATTTTCTGTTGGATACTATAATTTATACATTCTACTGCTAAGGGACATTTGGATTATTTCCAGTTTGAACTTGTTACCAGCAATGTTGTCAAGGACACTGTTTGACATGCATGCTCACATATGTATATGCATTCAGTTGGGCAATGAGAAACAAGTTTTGAATTCTAATTGATCTGTGTCCCATCAGTGTTAGCCGGGCATGATGGAACACACCTGTAATCCCAGCACTTAGAGGCTGAGGCAGGAGGATCGCCATGAGCTCCAGGCCAGCGTGGGCTACATAGTGAGTTCAGGGCCAGCCTGAGCTACAAAGGGAGACCCTGCCTCAAGAAGCCAAAAAACCTCCCCAAAACAATATTAGTCATTATGATAAAAGTATAATGGAAGCCCATGGTCCTAATTCATATCTCTCTTGTGACAAATGAGTCTGACCGCCTTTTCATGTGCTTTTTGGCTATGTGGGGGTTCTCATTGTAGAATCCTTCATAGCTCATGCTCATTTGTATTAGATTTTGTAAATTTTTATTAATGATTTTATGACATACAGATCAAACCTACCTTCTGTCAGTTATGTGCATTGTAAATATCCTCTATGTATGCACCTTAACATTTCATTTTCTTTTTTATTTTATAATTATTAACATTTATTAATTGCACAGATTAATGAGTTTCACTGTGGCATTTACACACACACATATATCATGCTTGGATCATGTCCTCCCTCCCTTCTTCTATTATGTGTTGTTCTGCTCATTCTTTAAAAGCATTTTTTGATGAGGGGAAGTTTTTAATTTTAGTATTGTGTGGTTAATTCATAATTATATTCCCTTTTATGTTATCAAGGACATTTTTCTCTATCCTAAATTTGTGAAAATATTCAATATTATCTTCTAGAAATTCTATTATTTGTTTTTTTAATTCATTAATTTTATTGGTACATTTTAGGTATACAATATGCTGACCTTCATTATTGGGAATTTGTGCCTTTACATAATCTCTCTTGGTTCTTATTTTTTCCCCATTCCCCTGCTTTCCCTTCAACCCCTCCATCCCTCACTATTTACAAAACTTTGTTTCCATTTTTTCCTTTTCTCATCGTGCCTGCCTGGCAAGCACAAGATCCTGAGTTAGATTCCTGGTACTGAAAAAAAAAAAAAAAACAAGACTTTCTATGTCTTAGTTAACAAAGGAAAGGAATAAATATAGAAATTCTATTATTTATTCTTACCTTCAGATCTGCAATCTACCTGGAATTGATTTTTTGTATTTGGCTTGAAACTGAGGCCAAGATTTATTTTTTTTCTTACACAGAGCCAACTGGTTCAGTGACATTGCAAAGCTGTCTTTTTCCAGTGCTTTATTGTGTTACCTCAGTCATAAACAGAGCGAATACATTTCTGGGTATCTTTTGATAGCTTCTGCGTTCCAGTCATCTAATTGCTATTTGTCATCGTTGTTGTTGTATTGGAGATGAAGCTAAGGGGCCTTGCACATGCTAGGGAAGTGCTTTCCTATAACCTTTTTTAAATTTTATTTTGAGATAGGGTCTGACTCAGTCACTCAGGCTGACTTCAAACTTGCCGTCCTCCTGCGTCAGCCTCCCGGTAGCTGGGGTTACAGGTGTACACCACGGCAGGGGCTTCATTGCTTTCGTTACACAACATTCTTCTAGCCTTAGTTAAAGCGAATTTGCAGCAATGCATAACATTTAATTTATACTATGTTCCGTATGGTAATATGCAGCAGAGCTTGGGTCTCAAACCTGACTGTACATTTGAAACACCTGAGATGTTGCTAAAAGACAGATGCTTGGGTATCTCCTTAAACGACAAGGATCTAATTTTGTAAAAAGTAAGGTGTCATCGTCAGCTTTCTAAAAATCTCCCAGATGATTTTAAAACGCAGCCAAATTTGAGAGCTACTGCTGGAAAATACGCTCTCCGATGCATTGTTCTTCTTCAACTTTGGCTTTGCATTTTCATATACATTTCAGAATGAACTTAGCAATTTCCACAAGACTCCTCCTGGAATTCTGATTAGCAGCGCACTGGTTTGGAGAAAATTAGTATCATTCTAAATTAAGTCTTTTGACCTGTGAACTGGGTATAGCTCTCTCGCTGCAGAAATCTTTTTTCATTTCTGTGAATCATGTCTTAAATTTTTTTTAGAGATCTTATACTTTTTTCAGATTTATTGTTACTTCATTTTTTTTATGCCCTTAGTAACGATACCTTCCTTTTTTCATTTTCTTTGTTGTATTTGTTGAATGTGAAGCATGTACCTTTTGATTATCTTTGATTTCTTTTTTGGTACCAGAGATCAAACACAGGACCTTGCGCTTACAAGGGAGGCGCAGTGACACTGAGCTAAATCCCCAGCCCGTGATTTTTGAAATACACATTCATATTGTCTGTGAATAATGATGGATTTTGTTTCTTTTTTCTAATGGTTGTACTTTTTCCCTGCAGGTGAAACACCGGGTAGGGATTCCAGTGTAATATCAGTTAGGGTCAGGGATAGAGGACTTCCTTCTCATCCACAGGCACTAAAATCTTCAGTAATTCA